GGTCGGGGTGTGCTCAGCTGGGAGCAGTGCTGGCTCTGCTGGCTGTGGCAGTGTCTCTAAAGCGCCCTGTGATAAGGAAGCGACTTGGTGTTGTTGCTTTTCCTGTGTTGTTCCATTTCCTGGCCACATCCTACACCGCAGACCTCCAGGCCAGCTGAAATGCCTCTGTGTCCCCTGTGGCCGGGGATGCTGGAAATGCCTGGGAGCTTTCCATTGGAGCTGAGCAGCACCTGGAGCTCCAGGCCGGCTCCCTCCTTGTGGGCACTGCTTGCCTCTAGCCCTCTAGTGTATTTGCATCATCTCACCAACAGTTCACCATCCTAGGTCCTGGATAGGGTTTCCAGGCCAAATTGTAGGAAGGAATTGCTCACCTGGCCCTCTGCCCACCTGGGCAGCCAGCAGCTCGACATTGTCCAACCATAGGTACTATGAGCCAGGGAGACAGCTGAGTGGCAGGGAAGGTGGTTGGACCCCAGCGCTGGACCTGACCTCCTGGACATCCATCTGCATATTCAGAAGTCATTCCCAGCCGGTTGGCTGCCTCCGGCCTCCCCACTCCCTCTTTAAAGGACCTGAGCGCAGCGGGAGGACGTGCGGCACTGCCTCTGCGGCATCCCGCCGCCCCCGGACGTCTGCCCCCGGGGTGCTGCGCTCCCTGAGCCCCTGGAGCCAAAGGTGAGTGGGGTGAGAGATGCGAGCAGCTCAGCGTGGGGACTGCTCACTGAACACAGAGTGATGTGTCGGCTGGGGAAGGCTCTGGGGGAATTTGCAGTGCTGGGGGGCAGCAGGCTGCTCCATGCACAGCTCTCCCACTGAGGAGCACTTGGGGAGACTGTGTGGGGTGGCCCCTGTTTTGGGGAGGACACGCTTGCCTCCTGAGCATCTTCTTTTTGTTCCTTGGTCTTTTTCTTCAGGTAAAAGGAGCCTCAGCTGCTTTTTAGTGTTTTGGAGGGTGGTAACTGGTGAAGGCTGATAGTAAGGGTAGGAAATGAAGCATGCATCTGCTAACTCAGCGGGGAAAGGGCTGCATCAGCGGGAGCAGTTTGCTTGGGGCAGCATCTCCCGGTCCTGCGGCGCTGGGGAGGCTGGAGGGGGGAGCCAAGGTCACCCACGATGGGCTGTCACGGCCTGGGACCGCAGGCTCTGCTCCCACCCTCCAAATCTCCAGCAGAAAGATGGTGGTGCCAGAAGCCCTTAGGCAAGTGGAGGGCTTCTTGCCAGCTCCGAGTCAATCTGCTTATGAGGGGTCTGTCTGCCTGCCTGAGTTTCTGGGACTGGGAAGCCTCAGCGTAGGGGACAGGTAAGCTCCCTGACCTTGCTGTTAAACACAGAGGAGGTGAGAAATTATGACTAGGTGCCAAAAGCAGGTGTTTCTCTAACAAACCGAGTGAGGTAGCAGGACCATCTGTCTTGTGCCCATGCCGTGTGGAAAGGCTTAAGGGTGGATGAAATCTGTGACTGCATCTCTGACTGCACTGCATTTGCTGTGAGGCTTTGCTGGAAGTGGCTGGCAGGCTAAATCGCAGCTGCAGGTGATGGGTGAAGCGTTTGATACAAGGACGAGGGTGATGCTGAGAGCTATCAGGATCTGGACCACATGCTGGCCATGAGTAAACTGAGCGGTTTGAATGGCTTTATGACACTGTTGGCAAAATGAAACCCTAATGGGAGGAGTGGGGAGTCAACACAGGAGAGCAACAAGTAGTGTCAGACAACCCAGAAAATACCTGGTTTGTCAAGATTAGAATTCTGTAAAAGTAGAGCTCACCCAGATACCTGCCTGGAGTACAGGGCTATTCAAAGAAAGGCAACTTGCTAAAAAACAGTGAGAAGAAATCCATTTTCTACACTGCTCGTAAGCCTGGGGGGACTTGCTGTGGAGCAGTCACAGGGTCAGGAGACTGGTGGTGTTGGAAACGGTCAGGCATTTCTGGGTGTAGCCAAAGAATTTCAGACACTTTAAAGGTAGGATTTCTGTCCTACTTCAGGGATGCAGAGCTACTCCTAATTGATGTGGATGAGGAAGAAGCATCCCACAGGGACAGTTACATTGTAATTGCCAAGTATATGAGCTTTTGCACCCTCTTTTTGCAAAGCTGTCCAAGCGAACAATGAGTCGAGGGGGTGGATCCCTGCCTGGAGTCAGCGTGATAATTTTAAGCACAGGGCTGCTGGCTCAGTAGTTTTTCTTTTCCCCAGTAATCCCCATCTCCATCCCTTTTATTCAGTGTTTTGCCAAGCGCTTAGAGGCCCCGTGCTGTGTTAGCCTGAACATCCCGGTGTGTCCCACACGCAGCAGGTCACATCATTTCACCCTTTACGGTGCCCCTTTCCACCAGCCCCTTTGTGCTGCCCTGGCCCCCCCAGCCCTGCTGCCCATCGCTGTGCCCTCAGGGCTGTGGTGACGGGTGCTGGGTGCCTGCAGAAGCAGGCAGAATGCCTTCACCAGGGGTGGAGCTGCCATCCCTGTGCTCTGCCAGGGAGCACCCAAAACTACCTTTGCCCAGGTGTGCGTGGCAGAGGGCTCCGTCTGGTGCTCACCACCCTTGTACCTGAGTCCACAGGGCCAGAGGGGAGTTTCCCCAGATGCCTCTGGTGTGGGCACAGCTGGTGGTGCAGGAAGTCCATGCTGCCGGGCACATCCAGGGCCCAAACCACGTGAAAAGTACCTTGCTGGTGGGTGGAAGCTGTGCAGCATCCATCAGCCAGCTCATGGGTTCTGCAGCACCTGGAGGTTTCTGCCTGGGTGCAGATAGATTTTGCAGGAGAGCAGGGATGCCCTGAAAATCTGGGAGGAAAAATCTCTGGCCATGTGCATGGAGAGCTGCTGTATGAAGTCCTGCCCACTGACGTTTCTTGCTTTCTCCAGCTCCACGCCACTAGCAGACTGAAACATCGAACACCTGGAAAGCCTGCCATTCTGTCACTGGGAATGATCCCCAACCAGCTGAGGGTCAGCTCTCCGGTGTCCAGGCAGGAAGAAGAGACAATGGCTGGCAGGACTGGCTCTGAGCAGGACAGAGACCGTGCCACTTCAGGGCACAGCCAGGGACTGAAGTTGGAGCCCTGTTTCCAGACTGAGTCTCTCTTGCCTTCCCCCAGTGCATCCCTGATATCACAGCTCCTCACCCACCCGATGGTTGGCAGGAGCCTGGATCCCACTATCCTTTTCCCTTCCTCTCAGGCAGCGGCTCTGCCTCAGGACTACGAGCATCATGCATCTCCTGGAGAGGGAGCACAAGCCCTGGCTTTCTCCAGGACCCATGTTCCAGCTCCCCTGCCCGGTGGTGGCGACAGGGACCAGCTGTCTGACCAGCACCTACGAGCCAAGCGGGCCAGGGTGGAAAGCATCATCCAAGGCATGAGCCTCCCACCAGCCTCTCAGGCACTGGGCACCAGCCTGGGGGCAGCTTTTGGGCATCAGAGGGACAGGGCTGGTGAGACTCCCCGGGAGAGCAAGAGGAAGCCAAGGGTATCTCAGCAGGGCATGGGGGCAGCTGGGCGAGTGGCCTCCGGGGAGGCCAACCCCCATGCTGAGGGCTGCCAGCAGCTGAAGGAGCAGCTCTGCTTTTTAGAGCAGCAACTAAGGCAGCTTCAGGAGAAGTTCTCCCAGGTCTGCGACTCTGGGGATGCTGCCCAAACCCAGGAAGGTGCTGAGAATGTGCATCCACTGCCTGAAAAGCCTGGAGACAGACTGAACAAGGACACTGCCACCAGCGACCCACGAAGAGAACCTCTCTGGAGAAACATGCTGGAGATACATGGGCCAGAGGAGGATGAGGACAGAAGTGACACAGATGGCCTCCCTTCAGCAGCAAGGGTCCTCTCACAGGCACTGAAGCACGAGCTGGCTGGGGTGACATCCCAGGTGGTGGACTCTGTCCTGAAGTCTGTCTGGCCGAAGGCAGCCAGCCACCTCCTGCAGCAGCACCGCAGCCTCATGGTGCCAGGGCCAGATGCCAGGAGAGAGTATTTTGCTGCTGGGAAATGCAGAAAGCCACTTGCTAAGCCATCTCCCATGAATGCACCAGGCTTGCTGGGCTCACTGGAGGCTGAAGCCCCGTCAGGAGCTCCAGGGAAGATCCTGGGATCTAATGCTGGCTCCTTCAGTTCAAAGGGGTTCAGAAAACCCCCTCAGGTACCCAGCATGGGTTATTCACTGGGCTCAGCTGCCCCTGTCCAGGACAGCCAGCTGCTGAGCCAGCTGCTGGGCTATGGCCAGCATGGCCTCTGGGGCGGCAGCTCTCGTGGGAGCCCCTCTGCTCCAGAGAGGGGTCCTCCAGAGCCCCTCGACGTGCACTGGGGAACTGTCAAACTGAGGTCGTCAGTTGTGAGACAGCAGCAGCAGCCTCTGCCCCTGAGCCCTGCTGACATGGAGAGCCTGGCGATGCTGCCAGCGGGAAGGGATGGCTGTGGGGAGCTGCAGGCTGCGATGGATGGAGCACCCTTCGCCTCCACCCATATATCCTTTGGGGGCAGCTGGAGAGGTCCCTGGGCTTGGCTGGAGCTAGGGCGGTCCCTGGGCTTAGATGTGCTCCTCTTGTCCTCTGTAGCCACAGCTCAGCCCAGCCCCTGCCAGTCTCCCCAGAGTCCCTGCTGCTTCACAGGGGGCTAAAAAGGGAAGGGCAGGAAAGGGGTCCTGAGCCATGGAGGGGCACTGCTGCTCCTCAGGGTTGGTTAGAAGCTGTAGTGTAGCTGGAGATAGAAATCAGGAGCTCCCAAGCCTGCTCTTAGGCCATCCTATGCCAAGAACAGGAGTCTTATGGAAATCCCTGATTCCACCAGCCTGAGAAGTGCCATGGGGAGTGGCAGCTTCCTTGGGGATGCTGAAGGGAAAAGCCAGTGGCTGCCCAGCCAAGGATGAACCCTCTCCACCCTGCTGCCAGGCCATGGGAAGGGGTTATCCTGGGCACCAGGCATGCATGTGCCAGGGCCAGTGCTCCGGGATGTGCTGAGCTGGTTGGGCTGCTGCGTGCAGGCTTTCCTTGACCCCGAGGCAGATGCAGGAGGCGCTGACCCCCAGCCACCTGAAGAAGGCCAAGCTGATGTTTTTCTTCACCCGGTATCCCAGCTCCACTCTGCTGAAGACCTACTTCCTCGATGTGCAGGTAAAATGGCAGGACATGGTGCTAGTGCCAGCCAGGGCTCCTGCATGGTGTGGCACCAAGCCCGCCTTGCTGGGGAACCAAAGGAAAGAGGATGCTCTCATGTCCCCCACCTCGTTGGCAGGAACAGGGGAGCGGCACCCACTTCAGCATGGGCTGCCTTGAAGCGGGTGCTCAGGGCTGTGGCAGACCTGTGCTACCAGGTCTTTGCTCTCTGCAATTGAGGTGTTGGGGTTAAAACACCTCACAAATGCACCTCCTTACCGAAGGGTGGCTGGGATCTTAATCTGAGCAGGGAGAGGCACCGTGGACACCCCCACAGTCCTGGCTGGTGCTTTTGCATCCCTGGGGCAGGGCAGGGTTTGAGGCCAGACCAAGAGTGAGTGGCTGGGCTTGTGGGGCTCAGGGGTTGGCAGGCTCTGAGCTGGCTTAATGCCTGTCCTCTGGCTCTCCCCCGCCAACAGTTCAGCCGCTGCATCACCTCCCAGCTCATCAAGTGGTTCAGCAACTTCCGCGAGTTTTACTACATCCAGGTGGAGAAGTTTGCCCGGCAGGCCCTGCTGGAGGGTGTTGTGGATGCTGGCACCCTCCGGGTCTCCCGGGACTCGGAGCTTTTCCGCGCCCTCAACATGCACTATAACAAGGGGAATGACTTTGAGGTGAGGAGGGCGAGCTGTGGGACAGGGGTGGCAGGGTGGTAGGGCCCGGGGACCTGCTGGTGCTGTGGGCTGATGCCTGTCTCGCTGCAGGTGCCGGGTCGGTTCCTGGAGGTGGCCAGCCTGACGCTCCGGGAGTTCTTCAGTGCCGTCAGGGCGGGCAAGGATGCCGATCCCTCCTGGAAGAAACCCATTTACAAAATCATTTCCAAACTGGACAGCGACATCCCAGAAGGGTTCAAAGCTGCCGGCTGCTCCCAGGAACTCCTCCGCAGCTGAATCTCTGCGAAAGCAGCCCCAGGTCCTCTGTGCAGCCACCATGTACTAAGCACCTCACAGGCACTCTGTGCAGCACTCAGTATTCTGAGTATTTTCTCTCTGGCCTGTAAGACAGCTCCTTGGGTGAGATCCACTACTTGCCTCAGGTGCTGGGATTTTATGCTGTGTGTTTTATTCCCGTGCTCAAAGCTGGTGGGGTCCTAGCGGAGACCCTCAGAGGGGAGGGATGGAGATGAAGTCATCAGGTTGGAGCCTGGGAAATCGCTCCGCTCCAGCTCTCTCTGTGACCCATGGCAACATGCCTTCCTTCTCTTCTCCCAAGGGCCACAGATCAGGGCAGGCAGACTTTGTGTTTATAAAGCAGGCAGAGGTCCTAGCAGTGGGCAAAGTTTTCTTGGCACAGCAGACCAGTGGATGTGCCCAGTCCAACAGCATGCCTCGGTTTGTGTCCAGATACAACACACCAGTGTCCAAAGAAAACAGCTAGTGAATTCCAGCATTTCAAGCACCCCATGGGGATAGTTGACCCTGTCTGGGAGTTGTAAAAGCCGTGTTTTTTGTAGCCAGAATGAACAACACTTCCCTCTGCCTTCTCTGTGCTGTTTGGCAAAAGCTTGCCATGCAGCTGTGCGCTGCAGCCAAGTAGGTAAGAGTGTGCTGGTGGAAGTGGCCCAGGAGCGACCACTCACTGGCAGCATCACCTGTGATGCCGAAGGAGAGGAGGGTGCGCAGCCGGCACCGCTCAGCCCCACAGCCAGCCCCCATCAGCCCATCACCTGGGAGAAGAGTGTCATGTTAAACACCCAGCCATGATCCCTCACACCATGCTTCCACTGGCAAAGCTGCCCCAAACGTCTTGTTTCTGCAACCTGCCCGTAATGAGAGAGGAGCATTATTTGGGACCTGTCAGTCCCTGTGAATTATAACACGAGCCAGTGAAGAGCTGGGTCCCAAGGCCTGCAGCCCCATTGCTGTACGGTTGTAAACCCAAGGAGGTTTCTTTTCTGTGTGACCAGGACTCAGTGGCTGCTTTTCCACATGACGGAGCGTGGTGAAGCATTTTGAGGGCTCTCTCTCATCTGGGCAGAGGTGGCGATGGGGAAGGAAAGGCTGTGGAGGGAGGTCCTGGGAGATGTATGGCAGGAGGGTTCTGGGAGGGCAGCAATACATAACTGTGGGTGAGCAATGACATCCCTGTACAAAATGCTTGGGGAGAAGAGGATTAGGAGGAGGTCAGCATGTTGTTGGATGTGCTGCAAGGTGCCAGCTGTGTACTAGAGCACAGCAAGTGACACAGGAGACAAAAATCACAGCTCCAGCATCAGACCAGCACATGGGGTGATCTGCGTGCAGTGAGTGCATCTGCAGGGGCAAGGAAGCGTGTGATAATGCCCGTCAGGGCTGGATAGGGTCTCCGAAATAGGAGTGGTTTTATAGTGGTTCCTCCCCACTGTGAGTGCACCTAGCTAGATTTCCTGCTTCTGTTTGTATGTTCATTTCTTGAGGTTTCTATATTTTACAACTCCAACACCAAATTTACTCCACCCATTTTTAAATAAATGCATAGTTTAAGTCCTTTACAACCCCTAGAGACCTGCCTGATAACTTCTGCTTTAAAATGTTACCCTGGGAATTTCTTGCCTTTTGTTGGGAAGAGAGTAACACTACAGCAAACGGGCTTACTCCTCCTGCCAGCGTCCCTGCAGAGCCAAGCAGCCCCCACTAACCAACATGCTCACATAAACCCACACCCTCACCCAGTGCCTCGGGGTCAGCCTGCTCTTAAGTGCAACCTGCTGGGAGGATCAGGATGGGGGGCTGGAGGCAGATGGAGACACATCCCAAAGCTTACTGGTGCTGGACTTGAATATACAGCATGAGAGAAAGTGCTGCTGGTGGCACCATAAAGGGCAGGATGGTGCCGTTACTGCAGGCAATAACTACCTCAGAGCTCAAGTAAAGCATTGGGTAGGCAAAATCAACACTGCTAGAAGAGGCAGTGATGGTCTGGCTCAGGGAAGGGGTCATTAAATTCTTCTAGTCCTAGTTTAACAATCAGGGGACATAACATACATGTTTGATGAAATACCCCGGTGAAACAAAGCCCTTTTACACAGAGTCTACGGGGGAGCAGTTTCTTGCCTTCTCTGCTCATATGCAAATTTGTGGGTATCAGTAAAATCGGCAGGTGGGGGGCTGCGGGCAAGCAGTGTCCCAGATCACAGAGTCACTATGGGGCTGAGCTTGGCAGGGACCTCTGGAGGTCAAGCAAGGCCATCAAGAGCTGCTTACTCAGGACCATGTTGAGATGGCTTTTGAGTATCTCTAAAGAGGGAAACTCCACAACCTGAGCATTATATGAAGATGTTGAACAGGACTGGACCCAGTATTTGGAGCAATATTTTTGCTCCAGTGTTTGCCATATAACTCCAAGGGAGTGGGAACTAGAGAACTGTGTTTTACACTGCCTTTGTGGAACATAGAACAGCCTGACCACAACAGATGTCATCTCACATCAGTTATCCTTTGCTTGTGATGAGGCCTCACCACTTGTATTAATAGGTTGAATTCTGCCCAGACAGGTTTTCAGAAATTGGGAAAAAAAAGCAGAGCTACCAAGACTCTGCAGAGGATCTAAGAGGTCACTTTTCTGGTTGGCATTTTCCCCAGCAGCTTTTCAACACCCTGTCCACCTTCAGCCCAGTGTGACAGAAAGCACAGATGTGCCAGGGATGCAGAGGAAGCATCTACCCCCACTTTGGTCACTCCATGCTCTCTCTGCAAGCAGAGCCCCTATCTCAGGAGCCTGGGGTGCAGCTGACTCTTCTGGGGGTGCTTGTCTGGGAGGTGGCACTCAGGCAGTCAGAGCTCTGCCGTGCAGCACTGGAATGGGGTCTTTCAGCCATCTAGGTCACAGGAGCACTGGTATGGAGAAGGCAGCACATCTGTTGGGACATGGGGAGAGCTGGGGTTATTCTACAGGCGATGGAATCTGAAGCATAAGGGAAATAGGGTGTGAATTATTAAGAAATTAGGGTTTCACTGGCTGTGCTGTGCAGGGTATGGTGTGCAATTTCACATACATTCTATTGGTGCCCAAGATATAGCAGCTAGTTTTCAAAGAAAGACAATGGGTGCCTGTCACAGGGAGATTTCTACTGACAAAGTGTGTCTGCCTGGAGGGCTGAGGGGAAGAAGGGAGAGCTGCTGCCCACACAGTGACTGCAGTCATGATCCTCAGGCTTGGGTAGGATTTTTCTTCACAATCTCCCACTAATTACCAGAGGAAGCAAGGGGCATAGCACACTCACCTACTGCTGACTCAGTTTGATCTTTAAAAAAAAATAAAAATTCTTTCCTTCCCTCTATCCAAATTTCTGTGGTATATGCAAAAAGCTCAGTCCTCTAGGAGCAATTCCTCAGGGCTATCCATTTATCTTTCCCATTGCATTCATAACCCATTCCACAGCAAGTGCACTCAGCCCACACAGCTAAACAGCAACAAAGACTGCTAAGCACTAAAAATCGTCGTTTCTTGGCTCCAGACTGCTGGGATCCTGGAGCAGCCGAAAGAGGGAGATGTGACTACACTGACTAGGCTGGCAAGGCCCAAGAGCCCTTACGTACTCCTCTGTGTTTTTACTTACCACGAGAACCCTTATTATTCACATGCAGCTAATTAGAGCTTGGAAAAGTTCCTAGCAAATGTCCATTCTGTGTGCCAAAGTAGCTTGGGGGCAAACTCTGACAAGCAAAAAAAGTCTGTTTTCTCTTTACTCCTGCTAATGACTTGGACCTGTCGGCAGTCACTGAACCAGCCCTAGAGGTCCCCAGCTCAAGCAGGCAGATGTTCTTGAAAGGGACCTTCCCTCAAGTATATCTCAGAGTCGTATTTGGCATCAGGTCAGCTCTCTCCAGGTAAGCACCCCCTGGTAAGCCAGTGACCCCATGCTCATGAAATCTCAGCAACATTCGCTGTCCCATCACATGCAATGGAAGGCTGGATTGATCCAGGTTGCAGCATAAATAACATCTGAAAGATCCGACACCACTTTTGAACTGTAGAGGACACCCCTTCATCTGCCTCTGGCATGTGGAGCCGCTCTGTGCCACAGAGCCGGCTCCACTCCAGGGGAAGGTGAAGCCATGCATGGAGAGACCATGGGGATCAGTCACAAAGAGAAAACATCCTGTGGGGTCCCCCAAGAGAGACTGGTATCTCTAGCTGGTAGCAAAAGCTCGTTCATCCTGCACACCATCAAACAGCATATTAGCATGAGGCATGGACCGAGGGACGGCAGCTGGGGCTGTGCCAAGCGCAGCTTCACCGCAGCAGCAGCCTAGTTGAGCTGCTCTCCCTTGACTTAGCCACAGAAAGCCCTGTTTTGATGAGACAGGGGCAATGGTGCCACACAGGGAGGGCTGCACTCTCCCTTTGCGGTGCCTCAGCTCACCTGCCTGCCTGCAACAGCTCAGGTGCAAGCGCCAAAGCTTGGGCGCAGAGAGGAGCAGGGTGGAGAAAGGATGTCTCGCAGGGAGCGACAGTGAGGCTGTGGTGTGACCTGGGGGCTTTCCAGGGAGATATTTACTCTGGGTAAGGGTGCATAAAGGAGTGAGAGGATAGTCAGCCTCTGCTGGAAGCTGAGTGCAGACTAGTCTCCAGCACCCAAAGCCAGCAGGTTTTGCTGGGGGTAACGCTCCTCTTGGAGGGGAGGCAGGCTGCCACCAAACGAGGACGTGCGTCCACACTCAGATAAACACCAGACTAGTAAATCCAGGTTGCTGCGTGGCAGGTGAAATCCCATGTCATGATCAACTCTCAGTTCTTTTCTTTGCTAACATACAAACATTACAAAGACCTAAAATTTGAGGAATTTCCTATTTTCTCCCTTTTGAGATGACTTGCAGCATACTCACAGTAAGCAAACATAGCTACAATCAGCCTCTGCAGTATTTCTGTAGGCTTCCTGAATTTAGTGATTTGTTTTTTAGCACTAAGC